AGCTCCATATGTAAACCCTCAATGGATGCTTGACAGAATGAGTTAATTTTCTTCTCTCAAGGAACTGCTAAGCTTTTTTAACTATTGATTCAGATAAAAGGTATTTTTGTTCATAAATATCACAAAATTTCAGTTAAAATCCTTATGTTTCTTTGCCCATGAAAGATGTTTTTTTAATGTTTCTCTCTAAGCAAAGGTTTTGTGAGCTTTCTATGATAATGAGCTCCACCTTCACCAAGATGCCATTAAATAGTTTACACATTAATCTTAACATTCTGTTTCATCAACTTATAGCAGATTTCTGAGGCTATAATATCTTTATTTTCTTTTGCTAGCTTCAAAATCTGTTTGTCTTGTTTTTTGGTAGTAGCTCTTTTATGGCCTGACTTTGGTTTGTCACTTAGGTCCTTGGTTTCTTGCTATCTTCTAATCCAATCACATGGGTTCCAATTATTTGCCTGATATTTATTTGCCCAATAATTACTTTCTTGACAACTATTTACCTGACAATTACTTGCCCAATATCTTTATTTGCTTAACAATCATTTGCTTGCCACCTTTAAAATATTAAGAAAGTGATTATAAATAAAAAAAAGATGTCGGGCAAGTGATTATCAGACAAATGAAGATGTTGAGCAAATAATTGTCAGGCAAATAGTTGTCGAAAAAGTAATTATTGAACAAATAAATATTGAGCAAATAATTGAAACCCAAATCACATACTGTACTTTCATTATAGTGAACCTGCCTTGCTATCTCATGTGTTGAGAGTTTGGGGCCTTTTAGATGGGTATTTAAAAGAATGATTTTATATTGTTTATGCAAAGGAAGAGGCATTTTTTTAGTTAAGTTTTCATGCATGATCAGTACAGGTATTTTCACTATCAAATCTGCCTGAAGAGTATTAGTATAATATTCATATATGATGTACTATACGTGAATGAAACTTTATGTGTTTACATATGATTTATCTAAAATTAAAGGTGCAGGGAAACTTTTGTCAGGCACTACAAGTTAGATGCTTGAAAATAAGTAAGTATTTGTATTCTTACTTAGTTTATAGAATAATATACATAGTCACAGAGAATTTAAAAGTCATTAATATTAGGTTAACATTTAGAAAGAAGTAAATATTAGGTTACTAGATAGTAAAATCACTCAAAAAAAAACTTTTTGTTAGAGTGCTAAAGGTGGTTTGTTATACTGATTCTTGAGAAATAAGCGATTTTGGACAAAGCAAACATTTGTTTTGAAATTTCCTGATCGTGTTATATTACACCTGATTCTTTTAAAATCCGATTTGTGGATTAGGACAATGATCAATATAACCTGGTATAGAAAGTTTGGGTACATATAAAACAGGTCTTCTGCCTTTTGTTGTAGACCTTTTTGACAAAGATTGTGCTAATTAGATCTTGCAAGAGAACAACGATTCAAAGTACTATTCAAAAATTACGAATGCTTGGAAGAAAGACAATAACATCCAAGTTTTTTTCTAGTCATTGATATTACCTAACCAAAACCTGATTGAGAATGTTTAGGAACTTATGAAAATAAACCTGGCAAAAAAAAAATTAGAAAACTTAGTACTTTAAAAGCCAAAATAATGAAGAAATAGAATTGTTTGCTTAAAGAATATGCGAAAGATTTAGTAAATAGTATGAGGGTTATATAGAAGCCCTGATTAAGGCTAAGAGCGATTATACAATATATTAATTTTCTTGTATTTTTAAATAAAAAAAAATTTTACCTATCTTATCTCTGTGCTGAATAAAAGTGCAGAAAAACTTTTGTCAGATACTATAAAATATATTTTTCTTTAAGATAGCCTGCTAAAGCTTTCTATACTCACAATCTGGCTAACTTAGGCTTTAGTTAATATATACAGGCTAAGGTTCACTACTTGTAATATCAATTTTTCTATAGTCAGTATATTGATCTTTCTCCTGCTTCCTGTCTATATATTAACTCTATTATGACCTAATATTACTATACAACCTATTTCTGCTTTTGTAGAATTTACTCAAATCTAGCATTTTCTTTTAAGTCTACTTAATATCTTTACTTTTGGTATTACTCTAGTTAGTCTTCTCAGAATTTCAATTTAGATAGCCTAAAAAAAATATTGATTCTCTAATATCTGTATACAAATTTTTTTCTTCTAGTTAATACTCTAGCAGCCTGGTTGGTGAAATACTCTTACTAAATATCTGGTTCTCATTTAGTTATACTAACCTTGGGTATATTCTATTTCAGTAATATTATTAAAAAATTGTATCACCTCTTTACTTAGGCTTGCCAAGTGAGTGTCTACCACTGTATTAACTTTATAACTTTCTATGATTCTAAGGACTTATTAAAGATTTATACTGGTGTGACCTGTATAACTTCTATATTATACAAATGTCTAGAATCTTCCAATTCTGGCTTATAGCTCTAAAAAACCTTTCACCATTACTTGGTATAACTATAGTTACAGGTCTTGAGTTTTTCCAACTATGATGATAATTACCAAACCTATTTTTCTAAATTCAATTTTCATCATTAGTAAGAATTGAACTTATACTCAACCACTTGGGGTATAACAACTTGACCACTTTACTAAGTCACCACACCCTTTAAATTTATCTTTACTTTAAGAGTAATAACAGATATTATATAATATTTTTTTACTATACTCTCTTTTTCTTTCTTTTATGTAAGAGAAATTTGATTGGCTATTATAAATTTATATATCAAATATAAGATATCAAAGACCTCTCCTCCTTAGGATATTATATAATATCACTACTACCCTAACTATAAACAACAGTTTAATTTTTATTTATAAAAATTGTTTTGATTAGTATATTATATGAATTTGTAATTTAATAAAAATTACTAGCATTTGCTTAGAAGCTGGTAACATGGATGAATTATGTATTACATATTTTGAACCAGTTTTGGAGCAGTCTCGTAAATACAGATTCGATTATGTTCCAATTCCTGTTCAGGAACTTATCAAATGCAAATTTTGAAGAAAAAAAATGCCCGAAACCTTATGCTTATTGGAAATAGTAATTCTATAGTTGCTCTTCAAACGTATTGGCTTCGCCAAAGAAAAAATTGAACCGATCGTTATTATTGGGTCACAATTTTCTAATGACATACGGTAATTGGTGGAGATTATTCATATGCAATTTTAAATCGTGTAATGGTAATGATTGAAAACTAGTTATACTATATATCATAATGTGTTTAACTAACAAGGTTTTTGATAAAGATGTGTGTTGAGACGGGCAGACCTTTGATAATAACTGATCTTGAGATTAATTTGTTTCTGCTCTCTCTATGAATGAATTGTTCAATCAAAATTTCTTGCCAGAGGGAAATTCAAGTGAAGAAGACAAAAAGAACTTTACTAGAATTAGTCTCCAATCCTATGTTATATGGTAATTTAATCTGTAACTTCATGTTCAATATTTAAAGGATTAATAAAAATATAAATTAGTGATAATATTATACTAATGAGAAACCGGCTTTTTAATTTATATACTGTAGTGCATCCAAATTTTAGGTATTTTCGCCATCTGATATTAGTTAATAATTTTATGAGAATTTGTGTTCATTTTATTTTAGGTGCATTTTAGTGCTCAATGAAGAAAAATTAACATTCGCTGATCCACCTCTTCTAAATCGCTTCGAAAAGTAAAGGCTTACGCTAATGAAATACTTTCAAGTTATGAGTAAAGACTTTTTGAGAGTTAAAAGATTGGACCAAGCAAGTTCGACTATTGTTGAAAGTGATAATACTAAAAATCGGTTTAATGAAACAGATATGTTTATTGGTTTCTCTTCAGAAGTAATCTTACAGATTTTAGTTATAGGCAGTGTGGAAAAATCCTAGCCGATAAATCATATTTAAAAGTAATCGATGAACAGGAAGTGAAACGGTGGCAGGACTTTACTTCCAGGATAAACGACATAGTAGCATTCAAGATTTTTAAGTCTCATTAAATAATAATTCAGAAAAAAAATCTGATAATCATAAATATCTTTTCTAACATCACCACTGATGTTAAATCGTGTTTACAAGACATTATAAATTATCAAATAGACAATTTTTCAAGTCTGAAGCTGAGCTTCAAAATCAAATTAAACGTTTTTATGAATCCGATAATTACATATATTTTGCAGTGTGATCCTTTGACCGTAAAGGCAGGATGTATCAGATTAGCAAAATTTATAATTGAACAATATGGAAATGAATTTATGGAAAAGTCACAAATATTCAATAAATCGGCTAAACACGCATATAATTATCTATTTCAACCGCAATTTGATAAAGATAGTGCAGATATATTCAACTTTATGTGTAGTTGGAGCCAAGTTACCATTAAAAATTTGGGTTATTCAGAAAGATCACCCCCATTATATCTTGATTCAACTATTAACGATATTCTCAATGAGGAATTTTCGTTTGAACAAATTTTAAATTATGGTGCTGCTTTGCGTTAAACATCCTTCCCCGAGAAAATCCGTAGAGCATTTAAAGGAAGTATGTATACCGATATATATACCTTTGATCAATTATATTTATAATGAACTTTTTATTTTAGACAATTGGTAAAAATATTCCTAAAAGTAAAAAACTCATAAAATGTTTAAGAAGAGTGGTTACAAGCTAATTCTTCAAATTAATGGCAATTAGATATCGCATTAAATCAAAAATCATTATCTTTACATTCTTCATTCTCGGTAGCCCTTTAGACGCACATACGATTCTTGATTCAAAAACCTATCGCTAAATCACTTTACCTAATGGATCAATATCATGCAATAACTCCCTTTTTCTCGTGGGATAATGATATGAACGAATCAAACGAAAATGGGTTCTTTAATTTTTGGGAACAAATCTTAATGAACAAAAAGATTATAAACATTGATGATGTGCTTATGTATCCTCGTCCAAATTTATATAACATCTCGGGAAATTATTTGGATCTTCGATTCACTTTTTCTTCCTATTTCGTGAAAAGATTGATCATTATAAAAAACTTTATAATGAAGAACTAGATATCTTAAATGAGCAACCTGAAAATTGGATGAGAATAAGAATTTATGCTCGAAATAATGGAAATATTTCTCAAATAATATTCTGGCAGCGATTCTAACTTTGACGCCAACAATCCTGCAATTCACTGGCAATTTGTACTTTGCAGATTTTGTAAAGATTTTATCTACAAATTCCGGATATTCGAACGAATCTGATGTGAAATTGCTACAATTTCTTTTTCGCCGTTCATGTGATAATGAAATTAAACGAACCAATTAGATTACATGTATTTAGTGGGCAAGTTCTGATGTGCTTATTGCTGAACTAGAATTGGCCCGATCGTGTCCTTCGATCATGGAACTCATGTTCAAAGATATCAATTATGAGAATGCGCACTTTGGAATAAATCTAATAGATCAAGTATGCAAAATGATGCTGGAAAACATTGTGAAATAAAAAATGAAAACGCTAATGAGGACATTGCTACAAATTATTTACGAGAATGGCAACGACAAGTTACTAATATTTTATCCCTAAGTCAAATATTGAAACGTCTTCAGAATCAAAGACTCCGCAATTTTTACGTATCTGTAATGATTTAATTTCAATAGATCATTTTGGATATAGTCGATGCCATTAACTTTAAACGTAAACCTGATCCAGACAACCAAGAACCTGTTGATGACATTATTAACACTAATAAAATTCAACCGGAACTCGATTTAGATAATCTGGAAATATACTTTCCCAAGAATTTGTTGATCGTGTGTTGGAACTTTTTGACAATATTCCGTCTACAGAGCGAATCATAATTCGTTCTTTCGCGGATGTTTTGATATTATTCCATTCGATTCACCAGTACGCATTCACCTTTATGAAAAAATTTTTTGGACGGTAGCCACATGCACTTTTTGGTTCTGTCTTGTCCCGCATTTTACTTTCGGAAGAGCCAGGAATTTTTATTCAACTAATTCAAAACGTGAGAGTCACCTTGCACCGCTCTCCGAATTTGACTGCCATTAATATCGCTCTTGGAAAAATAGTGTTGATTCACCGATTATGGCTTTATGCTGTGATGTAATACAAAATGACTTTTTTGCAAAATGGAATATTAGATATCTGATGAACAACTATAAAGATGCGATCAACGTTTTACGTAATCCAAATTTCGAACTTTTGCAATTTGTTACCGTCGCGTTACTTAAAGAATTTATCAATTGTCGTTGGAGTTCATTAGAATCTGTCCAAAACACGGAAACAGAGCATTTAATGTTTATTGACAAAATAAAAAGTATTGATGAAGTTATTAATGATCTAGCTATAGAACGTCAGTATCATCTTATTCGTTCACTCAACTATATTTTCTCCGTGGTTTATATGTCAAAGGACTCTCATTGCATGGAATTAAATGTTTTTGTAAAGTACAACGAAAGACATTTCACTGTATAAATGTGGTCAACATCAACAATTCGAACAATTGTTGAATAGAGTTTCGAATAATTTGGCAATAAGTGCGAAAATGTCTGTAATTGGAGTTTTGATCACCCGTCCATATGATACGAGAACGAACATTAACGATTACCAATTATGCTATTTGACCAATTTTATAAAGATAAATTGTTAACTTTTCTTGAGAATACAAATCAGTCTTATAGTATCTCTCCGGAAACAGAGCTACTGATTAGATCAGTTATCATCCATACTATTGCACTTCATTCTTGCATTCCTCATCAAGTCCTCCATTGGCCGCATATTTACAAACTTCGAGTGCTTGTAAAGATACATATATATTGACATCTCATGTAGACAAAAATCATAGAGCTAATTCAAGTAACACACGTCTTGATGTTCAAGCAATTAATAGAAGCGTTGAAATAGTAACCAAATTATGCTATGTTTATGAATCTATCGAAAGCAGAAAATATATCGATTATCGTCTTCGTGATTTAACACCAGTTTTCTATTATTATGTATTGCATCTTTTCGTGCATATACTTATTGCCGCTGCTTCTGATGCAGATCGCCATGATTTGTTTAGCAATCCAGAGCATTATTATTGTTCGTCATGGAACCTGTCCCTTCAATCGAATAAACGGCTATAAAATCATCATTATCATCATTTTCATGAGATAAAGATATAACGACATTTTACGTTCTATATCAATATAAATACAACAAACACCGGATATGCTCTCTAGCCACTTCAACTATATCATCATAAATTATTCTTAGTGCAACCAGTGATGTAAATTGGATCCGCGCAATAGGCGCAGCGCACATAGATTTAAATTTGCGCATATATCAGCGCTCTCCGTATATATAAAGTGCGTATAGATTTCTTTTTTGTGTACATTTTTTTTGTATTTGCGCCAATAAAAATTTTTTGAATTTATAACACTGAGTGCAACCCAAAAATGTGTACCAGGTTGCGCTCCGGATGATCATGTGACACCGGCGAAAAATTTTAGAAGTTTGATTTAGCACACTTTCGTTAATTATGCACTTCACGCAAATATTACACAATTCATAATAATACGTATACGTTTATGAAAGAAATTTATTAATTGTGTTTATTCGTGTTAATGTTTTTGATAAATTATGCTTTTTTTTTTGAAAGGTTTTCTTTTTTACCTGATTCATTATGGTCGGATCGATGTTTTCCTACGCTTTCTTCATTGTACTGATGCTGATTGTGCTCGAATTTTTCTCCACTTCTTAATTATTCAACCTTACAGCAGAATTCCATTGATAGAGATAAGAAGCAAATTTGCCTAATAATAAAGATTCAAATTTTTCATATTCTTTCTTAAAATTTTTTCAATAACAGCAAATAGTTGTTTATTATTATTTTTTTGAAGCGAAATGTGAAGCGAAATATGAATAATCATTAATTGATCGTATGGATCGTTTGGTATGATTTCTAGACAATCACATGATCCGAACACAACCTGATACTTTCGATTTGCCCGTTCTAACAAATATGTGGTTTTAATAAAAGAATGTATACTTGATTTATACACCAAGGATTTTTAATTATATGTTGAGGCATTTTTGCCGTTAAAAAATCTGATATCATTTTTTATCTTCATTATTTCAAGTTTTGACCTATGATTAGGGTTGTAAATTTGCATCAATGTTTAATTTTTTTATGTAAGGTAAGTTAAAAGCCATGTAACTTACATGTAAGTTTGTAAGTTAAATCATATATAATATAATATAATATAATCAGTGTTGGCAAATAGAACAATAGAACAAAAGCTCAATTTTTTGTCTTTATATAAAAAATTTTTTTTTTTATTAATAATTTGCAATTATTTAAACATACATTGTTAGAACATTAATAAAGTAATAAATTTAAAATATTTTTATATTTAATTAGTCAAATTTAATACTCAAAATTTACAATAGAAAAATCAAAAAAATGAATAGAATTATAAGCCAATAGAAAAAAACATATAAACGTGACAACCCTGAATATAATATAATATATACTATATAAGATATCTATTATTTCATTAACAATTGCTTTACTGACAATTAACTTACTGACAAGTTCATTTTGCTAACAGTTAATTTATCAACAAGTCCATCTCACTGACAGTTATTTTATCAACAATTCATTTCATTGATAATTATTTTTTATAAAATGCATTAATCTTAACTATAACTTAATTTTAATAAAATAACTAAAATTACTTTATCAATGAAATAAACTGTTGGTAAATAACTATTAGTGAAATGAACTTGTTAATAAAATAAACTTACTGATAAATTAATTATTAATAGATAGGATTTAGGCTAAAAGACTACCAGTAGTATAGTTAAAAAAATAAGTTAAAAATCTACAAAATTATATATTTTATATACAAAAATTTGATTAATACTATAGTATCCCTTAAACTGTAAACTTTTCCAGGCAAATTTGTCTGGAAAATTATCATAAATATGGTTATGATCTACTTTTTTTAAATTTTAATATATTTAAATAAATTTTTTTT